TCGAAGTTTCACATTCATAAGTTATCCGCCGAGTGAGTATAAGCCTTCTCATTAAGCTTACGAGGAGGGTAAAGAACAAAGAAGTTGCTCTTTAGTTCCTAGTTTCAAATCTTTTATCTTGTATCGATTGAAAAACCACCAAAACGCAATAATAAGAGAATTTGCAGCTTAACTTCATAAATCAAAAAATAAATTGAAAGGTTGATCAGTCATCAGGTACAAAGCACGATTGAGGCTGCTTAACTTAGTTTTATTCTCGAATTCAAAGCAAAGGTAGCATTAAATAAAGATGATTAAAAGCGATAAGTAAGACGATACGAAACCAAATTAACAGGGAAAATCTAAACGAGAATATATTGTCATGTGATAGCAAAATAATTCGTATGGCCAAGAAATAGAGTATAGGGAACATACTAAAATCTACACGCAAATAATGACAAAGATTATAAAATGGAAAAATCTAGTCGACACTATGAAACCCATGCAAATTCAAGATACTCTAATGACAAAAATCAAACAATTTATCTTACGCAAGTAATAATCGAAGGAGGTGAATCAGAGTTTTCGTATCCATCCGAGTTTACGCCAGTCGCTGCGACCACTGTCGACTTCACCTCATTACCACTTCCTATCTCTCCAGTCTCCGAGGAGACGGAAGTTGGGCTTGAGTGGAGCTGTCTACAAGCCGGCTCATTTGTTTGGCCAGCTTCTGTCTGGAGAGGATTGGCAACTGACGATGATGCTGTTGCCCTCACCGCCAAGGGCATCACGTCGCCGGTTGCTGCGACAGCTGCCGCTTCTGCTGCAGCCGCAGCATCAGCAGCAGCCCGACGTGCCAACGCCGTTGCATGAGCACGGCGAAGCATCCGAGTTTCGTCACTCAACGATTCATCCGCTTCATCATCGTCGCATTCTTCATCTACCTCTTCACCCTCCTCTTCTTCTTCGACTTCATCTTCCTGCTCCAAATCCTCATGTCTGCAGCCTGAAGTAGAAACAACTGTCT